AGGATCCGCGCAGTGCGAATCACCCAGGGTGTGATTCACAGAGGCCACAAAGAAGTATGGATTCCAAATCCTGCGAAGTGTTAGTCCCCCTCTATTCAGCACTGGTTAGGCCTCACCTTGAGTATTGTGTCTAGTTCTGGACACCACACCTCCAAGAAGGATGCTAACAAATTGAAACAAGTTCAGAGGAGGATGACAAGGATGATCAGGGGGCTGGAAACCAAGCCTTATGAGGAAAGGCTGAAAGAACTGGGCATGTTTAGCTTTGGGAAAAGAAGACTGAAGGGGGAGATGATAGCACTTTTCAAATATTTGAAAGGCTGTCATACAGAGGAGGGGCAAGATCTGTTCTCAATCATCCCAGAGTGCAGGATACGCAACAATGGACTGAAGGTAAAGGAAGCCAGATTTCACCTGAATATCAGGAAAAACTTCCGAACTGTTAGAGCAGTACAACAGTGGAACCAGTTAGTTCGGGAGTTGGTGAGTGCTCCAACACTGGAGGCATTCAAGAAGAACTTAGATAATCACCTGGCAGGTATACAGTGGTGCCTCACTTAGTGATTGCTTTGTTTAACGATGTATTCGCTTTGCGATGGGTTTCTTTGAGGAAATTTCCCCATCGTTTAACGATGTTCTCTATGGGGGAATTTCACTTAACAATGTCCCTTTTTGCTCATTTAAAAGTGTCTTAAAATGTTTGAAACCTGTTTTAAATGCTTGGATTCGGTAGTGCACCTTCTGAAACATGTGCAAACTTAATTTGGTTTTGTTCTGAGTCTTCGTTAATTTTTGGTGATTTTTTTGTTTTCCCCATTTAAATCCACTGAACGGACAGTTCAATGGATTTAAATGGGGAAAACAAAAAATCACCAAAAATTAACGAAGACTCAGAACAGAGCCAAATTAAGTTTGCATAGGTTTCACAAGGTGGACTACCAATTCCAAGCATTTAAAAAAGGGCTTCAAAAGCACTGAAGCCGGCTTTCCGATGTCCGTTTTCGCTCATTTAAAAGTGTCTTACAATGTTTGAAACCTGTTTTAAATGGTTGGAATAGTTAGTCCACCTTGTGAAACCTATGCACACTTAGTTTGGTTTTGTTCTGAGTCTTCATTAATTTTTGGTGATTTTTTGTTTTCCCCATTTAAATCCATTGGACAGACAGTCCAATGGTTTTCAATGAGGGAAAAAACAAAAAATCACCAAAAATTAACAAAGACTCAGAACAAAGCCAGACTAAGTGTGCATAGGTTTCACAAGGTGGACTATCGCTTAAGGACGGCAATCCGTTCCCATTGGAACGGATTAACCAGTTTTCAATGCATTCCTATGGGAAATGGTGTTTCGCTTAACGATGTTTTCCCATAGCGATGTTTTTTTGGAACTAATTAACATCGTTAAGCGAGGCACCACTGTACTTTGATTGTATTCCTGCACTGAGCAGGGGTTGGGCTTGATGGCCTTGTAGTCCCTTTCCAACTTCAGTTTTCTATGATTCTGTGATATTTAACAAATAGAAATTTTAACCAAAAACCTATCTGTTATATAATACCAGTCAATATTTCTATAGTTTTGATTAACTGTGCCTTGTGGTTTTGAACAACAACAGCAACAGTAGCAGCAGCAGCAACAACAACAACAACAACAATTTACCATGAAAAACCAGAGGCCATGGATTATTGCAAATACAGGAGGAAGTAGAGGAAGAAAAATGAAGCCTGAATGATTATATCAGTACAAGCAGAGAAAAATTACTGAAAGCAGTGAAAATGGAGAATATTTTGAAGGCAGAAACAAAGGCTCAATATAAGAAAGAGCAATTTTAAAATAAATTAAACAGCTGGAATAAGAAACCACTACATGGAAAACACATGAGAAATATTGATGGAAAGCATTCAACATGGGCATGGCCAAAACTGGGGACCTTAAGAAAGAAACAGAAGGCCTGATTTTGCTGCACAAGAACACTCCAAACCTGGCTTTCAGGAATTAGTGCTAACAGCAAATGTGAACTCTGCCAAGAAAAAGATGAAACTGTGTCACACCTCATCTGTAAATGTCCAAAGACTGCACAAAAAGATTACAAGTTAGACATGATAGAGTGGCAAAATTAGTGCACTGGTCATTGTGCAAAAAAATGTAACTTGCCGGCTGCTAAAAACCCACGGAAACATCAGGTAGAGAAGGTGTCAGAAAATGAGGAAGTCAAGATTTTGTAGGATTTCCAGATCCAAACGGACAGACACCTTGAACATAACACACCAGGTATAGCAGTAATAGAACGAAGAAATGTCTGGATCATTGACATTGCAACTCCAGAGGATGCCAGAGTTGAAAATAAAGAATTGGAAAACTAACAAAGTACCGAGTCCTGGCAATTGAAACATCTTGGTTGTGGATGAAACACACTTCAGTGGTCCCCATAGTCATTGGGGCTTTGGGAACAATATCAAGAAATTTCACACAGAACTATAAGCAGTTGCAGATCTCAGGAATCACAGCATCAAAGTACAAAAAACGGCAATATTAGGAACACCATATATACTGCATCAATATTTAACAGATACTTAGGTTTCTGGTTAAAACTTGTGTCTGTTATATAAACCAGCGTGCCTGGAGTTTTTGAAGAAGAAGAACATGTCATCAAATCAATTATGGCTTATGGCTTATTCCAAGTTATGGCTTATTCCAAGTCCCCTTCTGGGACTGTGAAACTTGCTCAATGCCTCACAGTCTGGCTCTACCCCTGGGAGGCACCGCAAGGAAACAAGCTAAAAATTAACTGAGCTATCCAATCAACTCATGATATATCTTTTCATTTATATTCCTGCATTGAGCAGGTGGTTATACTTGATGGCCTTATAGGCCCCTTCTAACTTCATTGTTCCATGATTCTATGCAGAAGCAAAATTGTTACTTGTTATTTTGTGCAGAATATGGTACTATGAAAGGCTGGGCTGTTTGTTAGATTTGTTTCAGCTTCTAATTACTAAGGGATCCTGAGCTGTCTGTGATGTTTGAATGTTTCTTACCAACAGTATATAACTTAAATTTATGCTCCTAGAATTAAGTTTACTAAGAGTGGTGCAGTGGATAGAGTGACAGACTAGGATCCAGGAGATCTGGGTTTGAATCCCTGATGAGCCATGGAAACTCACTGTGGGGAGGGGGGACTGGTAAAACCCCTCCCTAAATACCTCACTTAACCTGAAACCCCAGGTAGTGTCACTATAAGTCATTTCTGATTTGACACCACATAGCACACAGTATTAACTTAAATTTTTTCATATCCTATCTTTGACACCACTATTCAGGAATTGCTGGTGTTCATAGCATTTGACCTAGACCAGTTTCTAACTAAAACTGCTTCCTTTAAAAAAATTAATTTCTTTACCTAATTCTCATCACTGGCTCACTTACAAATACGTACACAAATCTGCTATCACCTTGTACTAGGCAGATATTCGGACACATCTCACCTTTTCATAGTTAATACTACAGTAGTTATTAGAAGCCTAATACTATTTCAGCTGTTCAGAGAATAAGCACTGATACCAATAAATTATTGTTCCCTTGAGAAGGTCTCTTTTTCAGTCATAATTTCCCAAATAACTCACGTGAAGAGCCAAAGGAATGCAGACTTAAATGCACATGTTGATTAATGCACAAACACTTAAGCGTTTGTTTAAATTGAAAAGTAAAAACCACCATCTATATTTGCTTAACTGGAAAACACTCATTAACTTCATGAACTGCCAGTCAGCATTTAACAGTGTTTTGCTTAGAGACCTGTTTTTTTTAATCCATGACAAAAATATGCAGAACAATACTCCATCTTTTGTGGATTTGCACATCATGCTTTCCAGATAAAGCAGAGATGGGTAAAATGTTGCAATCCAGATATTAATGGACTATAAATTCCAGCATCCTCCACCACTAGTTATGTTGGCTGTAGCTGATGGGAGCTGCAATCTGACAAAATCTGGAAGATAGCATTTTGCCATGTGCTCAGTGTAGCTTATGGTCTGGGGTTGGGGGGCAGCATCTCATACAAATATTTCAGATTGAGGTACCCCTCCTCACTTGGTCCATAAGCTACCAATAGAGAAAAGAAAATCTCTGTATATCTAAGAGGATTCTTAGTTCTATAGGCAGCTCATGACTGACAGGGAACACTCCCCTGAAATTCTGGGATGGGATCACGGGTTCACTCACATATAGCTCTCTCCTTCAGGCTATCATTGTACTACAAATGAGTAAACATTTATGGGTGGGCTCGAAACAATTTGTGTGCTGCAGCAAATCTTTTGGCCTGTTTACAAGGCTGTGGTGTTTTTATCACAAACACATTATCAGACATTACTGGCAGGGGCTGGAGAATTACAAGCTAATCTAGGGGGAGAATTTCTATGGCATGTCATTTCCCCCCCTGCAACCTGTGTTTGAGTTTATGAGTGGGGTTGAACATGTTTATGAGTAATCTGGTGAGAAAGGCCAGATTACCCATAAATATGTTTGAACTTGCTCAGAGGTTTAAATGTAGGTTGCAGAGAAAATGTGAAATGTGTCAGAAATCCTCCCCCCACGTAATCACAATATCTATTGTTACTCGGAGAGTTTGCCTATATAGGCAGTTCCTGGAAATACAAATCCATTAACTCATTTCAACATCTGATTTGAATGGATAGGTATTGAAGAACTGAATAAGAAGCTTGACATGAGTTGGAATGAGATGAAAGAACCAGAATCTCAGACTCTTGACAGGAATTGATTCGATCCAGCAAGGGCAAACTCTTCCTTGTAAACAAAGAGTTGCTAAGAATTACAACTAGAGTGGTCTTTTAGGCCAGATGGGCAGGGTATAAATCAAATAAATAAATAAATAAACATTAAAATCTACAACCTCCAGAACACAGTGTGATAATGTGCAAAACCCTCTTAATCTGAACAAGCAGTAAGTCATCTATGGTTAATTTTTTAAATGCTTCAAGCATCTTACCTCATATGGTTGCAGTGAGGCAGATGGGATGTTCCCAATAATCAATGGTTTTGTCAGTTCTGTGCAAAGAGTGGCTCGATAGTGCCTCTGGGAATGCAGGAGAATGGTGCTGCTAAGAGCAAGAGGACTCAGGTGTATTTGGCTGAAAGCATCCCTTCTGTAGGAAGACATTAAATCATAGTATCATCTATTCTTTCTGGTTCCTCTTCTATTCTTGATTTTAAAGAACATTATCTTTAATTGGTCTATCATCTTCTGTTACAAAAATATCTACGGTTTCAAAATGCATAAATGGCAATGTCCTAACAAACATAGCATGCCAACTATCTCCTAAGCATGATTAGAAGAGTCTCTCCTCCTAACCAAACCCATTTGTAATCCCCCCACCTTCCCTAATTGTGGTACTAACAGGGTCCAACTGCACAGGGGCTCATCCTGAAATCGTGGAGAAATCCCACCTGTTCAGACCACAAGCTACCCATACATATTAACTGTGCCACTATATTACACCTTCATTGGCCCTAACCCTAGCTAGATTTTACTAAGATTTGCAAAACAGATTCTCACCCTGATTACAAAGCTAACATGCTAACACAATATAGAAGTAATGTTATCCCAGAGTTAACTTTGAACAAGAAAATGCTCAGGGGGATTTTGTGTAGCTGGGAGAAGAGGAAAAAGGGGCATAGGACAGCATCTCTTAATCATGTTTAGACTGCTAGCATAGCAACTGCTGTCATTATAGCTACAAGAAGTAATCTTAAATTTGCACCAGCCAATATCCACTTTATGCCCCCACTTTATATCCACTACTGTTTAAAGGGGACAAAGAAAAGCATACAGCCCCAAGAGGGCTTCCAGATTGACAGCTCAGGTGCTACCAACTAGACAGTAATGTTTGGCATCAATGTAAAAGTTGGTGACTGAGACAGGGTGATTTTACAAGGAAAGACTTGTTGGGAACCACACCAAATATTACCTAATTATTAACGTCACCCTCTTCTAGGTATGGCTGGGCTGAATCATTGTGAAGTTATCTGTTGGAAATGCTGCTTTTTGATCCTTATCAAAAGTTATTGAAAAGCAGTGTCCTCCTAGATCTTCTCTTTGGTACTTGAAACGTATCCTCTATCAGCCAGTTTCACCTTTAAATAAAATAATATGTAACATTTCCAGCTGTCAAGAAGTACATACAGTACTACTGCATAACTTTTCTCCTCCACTCTCACCATCCCTCCTCCATAGAGACAGGGGTATTCACAGGGAAATTGTGACAACAGATTAAAGTGGCTCCTCTCAGGAATGCATTCTTCTACCAATGATCAGGATCACCATTTTCTACATGTTTAGTGACCAATACACCCATTCAGGCACTCTTGTGGAGGTCAAGACAATTCAACTCTTTAGATAAGTCTTCTCCAACCTGGTGCCCTCCAGATATTTTGAATTACAACTCCAACCTGGAGAGCACAGAGCTGGATAAGGCTGCTATGCATGCTCATATAACATCCAAAATGACACCCACTTCTGTTTCAGCACTGATATGCTCGGTAGGTATGGAGCTAATGATACACCAGTGAAGAAAAGAGAATCATAAATCCAAAGAACCTCTGAGGGTTTCAAGGCATGTGAGATATATAAGGAGTAGCTTTACCATTGTCAACCTCAGATGAGCTTTCATATCTAAGCAGTTTTGAATCCAGATATCCAAAATTCCAGTCAAACACTTTGTCCACTACATCAAGGAGATACCTGTCAGCTAATTAGGCTGTGCAATTAAAATCTAGTTGCTCATTAATGCTTTTTCTTATCGGGCAAATTCCAGAAAATGAAGAAGAGTGCTATTGCAGCATGAAAGAAACGGCAGAGGGCAAATGAATTGAGAAGAATAGTGAAACTGAAAAAGAGAAGTGAAACCAGGCTGGGAAAGTACAGGAAAGAGCAGAAGTATAAATGAAAAGCCCTGGCTGGAATGAATGTGACAAAATGGAGGCGGCAAAGACTCAAGAAGCTAACTTGGAAGTGGGAAGCATACATCCAGGATGAAGTATCTCACTAAGTGGCAAGAAACTATGATGGGGGAGATGTGGATAAATGGTAGAGCCGCTGAGAGCTCACGGCAGGCGGTTGGGGCAGAAGGCAGGTTTGGGAAGGGCAAGGGCAAGCAGAAGACGCAAAAAGGAGCTGGGTTCCTTAGAACTTAGAAGTTCCTGAAAAGGAGGAGAGAGCAGGACTCTGGTCAAGGTAGCCAGGTTTTCCGAAAGTGTACTCCTTCAGTATACCAGAGGCGGACGATACCAAGAGAACAGGCGCCGCGCGAAGGCAAGTAGGAAAGTGAAACACGGATGACTCTCTGGGTCGCACCTGCAGCCCATCCATCGTGAAGCGCTTCTGGCCTCGAAACACCACCGCAGCCCCGCGAGTCCACCCGCTCTCGCCATGGCGTCCGGGGCAAGAGCACCTCCACTTGTCTGCACCCGCCGTGCCTCTTGTCTTCCGGAGTCAAGTGGCATCGAAGGCTCGCTCTCTGCCCGTCAGAAATCCCCGCCTTCCGCCCAAGAGGAAGTACCCGCGGCCAACGGTTACTGGGAGGAGTTGTTAATTTCCACCGGCCCCATAGGTGGCCGCCTCTTGGGCAGAGGTGTGTTGTTAAAGTCTCCCGCTTCTCAGATGGATAATTGTTTTTCAAATCGTGCAGGGTTAGCCCGTTAACCTCCAAGAGCTACAGCCCCCCTGAACCGAATCAATACTATTCCCATTTAACTCTTTAAGTGAAGGGGGCGGGTTCACGGATCTCCTACGTCACTGGTTCTTAACCTTGTGTTACTCAGGGGTTTTGGACTGCAACTCCCAGAAGCCTTCACCACCAACTGTGCTGGCTGGGGTTTCTGGGAGTTGCAGTTCAAAAACATCCGAGTAACAAAGGTTAAGAACCACTGTCCTACGTCATGGAAGTATGCAGAGGAAGAGAAAGATCCGTTTAATTTGAAGTAAGTGTGGTGTCAGGGTCCGTGACAAAACAAGGATTCCAGAAAGGGCTTTAACACAGTTTCCCACACAAGCAACAGGTATCAAGTACATCAGTACTTGTATGATGGAGCGGAGGCAGTGACAGATTGCGATTTGGGGTCATCTGGTTTCAGATCCTTGCTTGGCCATGGAAACTCATGGGAGATGGCACTACTAAAGCCAGTCATTAAATATCTCACATAGCTTGAGAAATTTATTAGGACTGTAGTTTTAGAAGAGATAGCAGTGTTAGTCTGTGCAAGCATATCAGGCAAAACCCAAAGAAGCAGAACAAAAGAAAGAGAAAAACATGTGCCTGTTATATTTTAATGTGAATGCTCATGGACATGTCCACTTTGTCAGACATATGGAAACAGAACGAAATAATGGATGAAATATCAGTTTCACAAGGAGAACATTCTAAATATTCATTAGATCTAGGAAAAATCCTTTTGGCATAAATTTATGCCACACAAGTGGAATGATGTCATCATCTGGTGTTGTTAACAGTGAATTTATAATGCATTGAAAGCTTCCTAT